ATAAATATAATTTGTACATTATGTTGTAAATTACATTCTTTATGCTGATTTGAGATTCACAGTGTATGTATATTTGACAGATTTATGCTGAATGCAAGTTTAAAAATATATCATGTGATATCACTAATGAGCCGTCTCACTCTGTTCCTTACAATCATAGTACATACAATTTTCGACGTTTGCGGGCTGCGTTCCTCCACACTCTACAGCTACGTGGATGCGGCGGCTACAGGCTGAGCAGGGGTGGGTGCCGGGGTTGGGCCGGGGCCGGGCACGGGGCCGGGCGGTTGCGGGTGCGGGTGAGCCGCGCGAACACGCGTCCCCACGGGCGTGACCGTGTGGCTGCCCCCGCAGAAGCGCGTCACCAGGCGGGAGTGCTCTGCGCGGTGCTCAGCCCCCAGCGGGAGCGGACCCTCCCCACACGGCCCTGGGGAGCTGTAACAGAGGCGTGGCTCGCTCGAGTACGAGTACGGCGCCCACCGCGGGCCTTCCCTCCCGGAGGTCTCACCTGCGCGGGGGCGTCGCCTGGCAGGGCTGGCCCCCGAGGTACGGCCGCGTCGGCCTCCTGTCCGGGAAGCTTTCGCACGTCGGCACGGCGGGGCACCAGTCGTCGCAGCGCATGGCGCGCGGCCCGTCGCAGGAGATGCACGTCACGTTCCTGCACATTCGACGGGTTGGCTGCACCCCAAAGAACTGGCGGGCGCGCGCATGCGCAGGCGTGCCGATGGTCCTGCCAGCCGTACCTGATCAACCTGACTTTGGTGGCCGCCGCGAAGTGCTCGGCCTGCATGGTCTGCGCCTGCTGGGCCAGCTGCTGCTGCCTGGCCTGGTCGCACGGCCGCTCGGCGACCAGCCTCTCGACGTGCTCGGCTAGCTCGGCGGCCACGGCTGGCAACTCGGTGCGGTCCAGTTTGGAGTCCAGTCGACTCTCGGTCTCGTGCAGCTTCGACTTGGCCTGCCCTAGGTCGTTGTGAATGTTGGTGCAGGCCGCAGTAAACTCGGTGTGCGAGACTTTGGCAGACACCAGCCCGCGGTCGGCCTTCTCCGCCAGCGCGGCCTCCAGCTGCCACCTGTCGGCCTTGTGCTTCTCCAGCGCCTGGACCTGCGTCTGGAGTCCCTGTGAGAGGGCATGCACGGAGGGTACAACCACTGGCAGTAATTGAGCCGGTGAGCGTCTTGGGTGTGTGCGTCTGCTACTGATAGTATTGTAGTGGGAAATGGCGCACTATGATGGCTGTGATTGATCAGCATCACATTTAGACTCGTAGCGCCTGTAATTCGACTCCCGCATCACCCAAAAATTGGGTTATTTTTTGCCTACGATCATTAGTTTGGGAGGTATGGCAAGTAGGAAAAATAGCCTATGCCACCACGAAACTCTGAGCGGCGTTAGTGTGGGTGGGTCCGTGCGGTCGGTAAGTCAGACGACGCTGACACCGAAATTCGTTTCATACTGCACTAAAAACAGTACACGTTCTTCTGAGAAATTTTCTAGAAAGCACGTCCGTATTTCTCAGATTCGTTCGGCAACCCGAGAGGTCAGCGCCAGAGGTCTGGAGCTGTGGCTCGCCCGAGCATCTCACTCGCACCTGTCGCTCTCGGACGCTCCCGGGACCGGTGGACCGACCAATGCAGACCTCTGGTCAGCGCCTGCGAGACTCGGGGTAGGCCAACCCGCAGTACACGCATGCACGGCAGGCCAGATATTGCCTACCATCTGGGCGCTATGCGACCATTAGGCAGTTTCGTAACGGCCAATGACGGAAGCACTTTCTGAATGATCCCATCATTTAAAGGGCGATAATTAAAGAGCGAGTTTATTCTTCAGCACAAAATTAATTTTGTGTTCTACGCTGCGCCTCCCCGTACTGCGTGCACGTGTGGTGGCGGGTTGCCTTCTTCCTCGCCATAAGGCGCCATGGTTCATGGTGGTTAGAGAGAGTATGCGAAAAGTCGCTTCTCAAACCTAAATGAGTATAGCAGCAGCAACAGGAACAAACTGTGTTTTCCAGCCACCGGCTATACTTTGTGAGGCAGCTCTCACCTGGACGGCGAGTGCTCTCTGGTCTCGCTCCCTGAACAGGATCCCAATGTGGGATACCGCGCCGTCCAGGTCCTCCTGGAACACGACCCGCTTCGTTCGCACCGCGTGGTAGACAAGCGACTCCAACCCAGTGCCCTCTGACCTGCATGCCGTGGAGCCGCCTGTCCAGCGCCCCGAGCCCCTTGTCCAGCCCCGCGCTCAGCCCCCTGGCCAGCGCGTCCAGACCGTCCAGTCTGGCCGCCAGAAGCCGCAGGTCGGCCTGCAGTGCGCCGAGGGAGCGGCCGTGGTCAGCCAGCTCGGCGGCCAGCTCGGCCTCCAGACCGCCTGCGCTGGGGAGAGTGCGATCGAGTGCTTGAGTCCACTGCCGTGCTCTGGGCGTGCTCCGGGACCCCGGCGCTCACCACGTTCAGGTAGCGCGGGGACCCCGGTGGGGGCGAGGACGGCCATCTTGCTCTTGAGCGCGAGCAGGAGGTGCTCGTCCCTCAGCAGGCCGGACAGGTCCGCGTCTGGAAGGGTGGCGGCGGCTGTAGGCGCAGCCGGAGCCCACGTCGGCGGCGTGTCAGACGAGCCCTGCTCTCCTAACCCTACCTTGTTACCTGTCGTGGCGGTGTCCCTACTGGCCCTCCGCCTGGGCTTGCGCCCCAGATGAGCTCCCTCCAGCGCGTCCTCCAGGGCGCCCTCCAGCACCCTCAGCCTGCGGAACGCGTCCTCGCCCTGCGCGGTGAGCTAGGGGCGGACGAGTGCACGGAGCCATCAGCAATGCCCCCTACCCTGCCTCACCCTGGACCACCCCCTCCGCACACGCGCACCTTAGCGATCTCACTCTCGACGGCCTCGGCGCGCTCCTCCAGGCCCATCCGGGTGCGTTTCGTCGGGTCGGCGATGGCCTCCGAGTCCTCGACGACGCGCACCTGGGACTGCAGTGTGGACGCTGCATCCTCGGACAGCCGACCGAGGCGGTGCGAGCTGGCCAGCACCTCCAGGAGGTGCGCCGAGAAGCGCCGCCTCCGCGAGTGCCGCAACACTGGGGTGCCGAACATTTTGAGACTCTGCAGCTTGGCCCGTCCCGTGACGTCGTGTCACGCGCCGTACCTTCTTCGGCGTCCTCCAGGCCGAGGAGCCGACGACACCCCTTCCTGCCCTTTGACCTCGTGCCACCCGCGCCGTGGCCGTCGCTAACGCTGGTGCTGCTGCTACTCGCGCTGCTGGGGAGGTCGCGGGCTGCGCGAGCTGCGCGCTGCCAGGCCGGACAGCCACCGTTACGCAAGTTTGTCGCGGAGAGAGAGGTAGAGGAGAGTTAAGAGCACCCACCGTCCTCGTGCGTCCTCTCCTGTCCTCGTCCAGCTCCCCTGCAAAAAGAGCGGATTCGGATGATTTGCTGATCCGCGGAGAACACCCAGCTCGCCCAGCTCTCCCCTTCGCGACATGGTCATTCTCGCACCTGTCTCAGTCGCCCCGCGGTCATCCTGGGCGGCCTGCTTCGCTATCTCCTTGTCCTTCCTGCTGCGGTCCCGTACCCGGTACTCCGAGAGCTTGGCTGCGGGGGCGGCGCTGCCCGCGATGGCGGCCTGTACGGTGCGCTTGTCACAAAGTGCTCCACTCTACTGCGGCCTGACGGCGTGCCTTTCACTGCCTCTTAGGGGGGGCGGACGCACCTGGATGCGCTCCGAGTCGGGGCCGCGGAACTCGACGGCGCACTGCTGCAGCTCGAGCTGCTGGATCATCACGTGCAGCAACGAGTGCAGGATGTTGAAGTTGACGGAGCCCACCTCTGGTGACCCCAGGGCGAGGTCCACCATCTGGGGCAGGGACAGGGACACGACGGGTGACGCCATGTCCGTCCAGAGTGCTGCGCCCCGGCGGTCACTGTGTGGTCACTGCGTGGTCACGCGCAGCACGCCTCTGCGGGTGCCACTCGGCCAGGCGCCACCAGGTGGCCTGAGCCGCCTAAGCCTTGCCGGCCAGAGGCGCCAAGCAAGCAGGGCCTCTCGCAAAGCGTGCCAAACACCCAAACAATGGCGGACAACAATGGACAAGCGGCCTCCTCACGTCCACCAGCACGCGTGCGTAGCAGATTCGACTAAAACCGTCTTTGTTTTACTCCAAACTAGTTCGAGTGCTGCCACACGTCGTGATTAGAAGAGAGACTTGGAGAATCAGAGCGTCGGGGGAAAGGTACACTTTTGCGCACGTTTGAATCGGGCGCCATTACTTGCAGTACCGTTCCTCTCTTGTTCAACGGCACCGCCTTCTCCATGTGTAGTCTGCTGTTTTGGCGGTCATTCGTGCTTTCTCTCTCCTGTTGCGTCTGCTTTCTCTCTCGCACACACATACTTCTGCTTCCATCCGTTCTCGTACTTCGTAACATTTTGTGTTTTTGTCTGGCTAACTGCGCGTTTTTATTAAAGGTCTTAGCTCCTTCCAAATTTTTCTGCTACCTCAAACTGCTTAAGTCGTCATAGTGACGTTACAATTGTTCTTTGTGTCTAGTGCTTCATATAACAACTGTTCTCGTCTATATGTAAGTTTTTAACCCGTAACTTTTCCGTATGGCATTGCAGACTGTCGTTATCACTCGTCTTGTCTTTTAATGTCGAAGAGAAAATAACCCGAGCGTGGTGTAATCAAACGTTTTAAGTAATTAGGACTCATTGTCACAGCATCTTGCATGTAGACATCAACTGTTGTGAGTTCTTTATTTTTGTTTGTTTTGTTTTGACAGTATGAGATGTTGTCATTTCAGTTTATTCTACATGGTTCTTTGATAAGATTATTTGTTATGTTCTGCTTACCTTGGTTCCTAATCCAAAAGAGGGGTGAAAGCAGCATCACATGTTTAACTTCGTTAATATTTTGCCCTATTTTTGATTTGCAGTGATAGAAGTTCCAAGTATTCACTTCGTCTGTTTCGAAGAAATCATGAACCGCAGCCGACCAATGGGAGCATTAGGTGGAGGAGGCTGGGAAGCAGGTTCTCTTCCTGGGGCAGCTGTCAATGAACGATCTTCAAATCATAGTAAAAAAGATAAAGTTTTGGCAGACATGTATGAAATGTTCTTAGACACACTTGAGGCAGAGGTCATTGAGTGTGTGGTCCAGTCCTGTGAATTCAACCGTAAGATATTGGAATCTATAGATTGCGTTTTCCTCTTTGTTGATTTCTCTCATCATTCTTGGTTTACATTAATAACATTTTCATTCTTTAGATAAAAAGTCTATGGATGCTCTTATGGAAATGGTGGGGACCTCTCAACTCATGTCACAATCCTCTCAGTCTTCACCGGCAAAAACAAATTCTTCTACTCCATCTTCACAAGGAATGATGAAGCCTTTGGAGCATGTTGAGAAAACACCACCTACCCAACTCTCAAGCAATTCATACCATCTGGATGAAAAAGGATCATCAACAAGACATGTTTTTCCAGATGGAAAGAAGCCCTTGCCAGTGTCTATGCTTTCGTCAAGGTACCATCCTCAGATTGAAAATAAGCAGTTGCCACAACCTGTTAATGGTTATGGAAGACCAAGAAATGCTCCTGGCCCACCGGCTCTTAATAACTATTTCCCAGCTAGGAAAAAGAAAATTTCAGATCCTTACTCTGGAAATGAAGTAGCCCAGGTGAAGTGGCACATAGAAAATGGATACAGGATAATGGTTTTAATGCGAGGATGTCCAGGATCAGGAAAATCATATTTAGCTAGAGGACTGGTGGTTTCATATGGAGGAGATCCTAAAGATTTTATCTTTTCAACCGATGACTATTTTATCAGAAATAATGTTTATAGATTTGATCCCATGTTACTAAATGATGCTCATGGATGGAATCAGCGACAGTGTCTGAATAAAGCAAGGGAGGGCCGCAGCCCTATTATTATTGACAATACCAACACCCAACTTTGGGAAATGACAGTTTATGCAACTATTGCTGTTAACCATGGATATTCTATTGTTATTCTTGAGCCAGAGACTCCTTGGTTTGAAAACTTAAATGAGTTGGCCAAACGAAACAAACATGGAGTACCCAAAGATAAGATAAGAGCTATGTTAGAGCGATATGAGAAAAAAATTACTGTGGAAGCACTTTTAAATTCTACAGGTTTAAAATATACCAAACCACCGCCACAGCTAGCGGAACAGTCTATTATTAAGCTGGGTGCTTCTAAAATTGAAAAACAGCATGGTTCTAAACTTGTAAAACAGGATAGCACTCAAGTATTTAGTTCTAAATCTAGCCCTTATAAAAGAAGTGAACACATGGAGTTAAATAGTGCGTCATCCAACTCTCCAACAGGAGAATTTTATTTTGGTCCTAATACCTACAAACGTGTTGATTTATTCCCCTCAAATTCTGGTAATCAAGAGACAAGAGACCAAAATAATGGTACTAGAGAGAGAAATCTAGAATTGTTTTCAGGAGGATTCACAAAAAGGTTTGTGCCCACCAAAAGTGATGAGCAAAATTTAAATGAAACTAGCTATGTTCCAACAAGAAGTAAAGAATCAGATACAGATCAGATAGATCCTTCATCTGTAAAAATAGATTTGAGTGTTAAAGAAAGTGTGGCTACCAGTTTAAATAGTCCTTCCAGGCAAGGCAACGTTTTGCAGAAAGATGTTTTGGAGTACAATTTCCCACTATCTGTGGATTCATTAAGAGCAGTACAATCTTCTGAACATAAATTAACCACGCCAGCAGTCGAAAATGAAAAACCTGTAAATATTCTGGAGGGCGAAGAGAACTTGGATTCACCTATGAAAGTTGTTTCATCTGGTGATAGCATTGATAGCAATTCACAAGATGCTGAACTAATAAAATTTGAAGAAGATTGCAATCCCATTGGAGGGTCAGCAGATTCCTTTGATTTTAAATCACTGTCTGACCTAAAAGAAAAGTCCAGCAGTGTGTTCAGTCTATCATCCTTTAATAATTTACAAATGGATAATGCCAAAGATGAGACTGTCAGTAAAAACCCTAATGCACTACTGAGGTTGTCATCCTTGAGTGACCTTTTAACTGATGAGCCAAGCAAATGGAGTGGTAGTCCAGACATGGGTCATAATAAAAGTGTTGCTCCAAATGAAGCAGTTTATCTGAAATCTGCTCCAAAGCCACCCCGTTCATTCAGTATGAAAAATATTCAGGACTATTGTAATTCTGTTAAAGACATGAATGCTGCATCAGATAATGAAGCAAGTAGCTGGTCATTTTCTGAAAATAGTGCAGTGACATGGCAACCCATTGAAGCAGAAGTTTTTCAAAAAGAGAAGACTCAAAGTCCCACACATGTTTCATGTAATACTCAACGATTCAAATTCAAGAAATTTGATGGGATAGATAAAGGAACCAATACTAACCATGCAGATTTTTGTCTTCTCAGTAACAACTCTTCAGGTCCCTTAGAAGATGGAGTAACCTTCTTAGAAACGACAGACCGAGACATAAATGAAGGAAGAATTTTGTCAAACACCAAAATATCCCTGAAGCTTATGCTTGACAAGGGTACTTATACTGAAAATGATTTTGAAGTTGAAGACCCAAAGTCTAAAAGTAAACAAGAGAAGATCAAAGAACTTGTGCGTTTATTTCCTAACAGATCTACTGCTAGTATAAAAGAACTCTTAAAACAGTGTAACTGGGATTTGAATTATGTTTCAAATATTCTTTTGGATGATACTGACAGTCCTATTGCTTCTTTTGTATCTGATGAAAATAATGATGCAGACTCTGAGATAGAATCTTCAGCTGAAGAACAATCAGAGGATAGTGATGCAGATAAGGAGGATGCAACAGTCACCCCTGAACCTACATGTGAAGACGTTTTGCCAACTCGTAATGCTCAAGAGGAAGCTGAAGAAGTCAAAAGACACATTGAGAAAAGCTTTGACTTTAATGAGAGATGCTACTCTCCTCATACTTTGGCTATTAAAAACTTAAGACGGGGCATGAGAGAAGGAGCCATACCAAAAACCTTACCCATACCCCTTGGTGAATCTGAAATTTCAACCATTGAATCCACGCAAGAACCTTCAACTTCAGATAGCAGTGATGAGGGGAGTGAAACACTTGAGTTCATTGTTGGTAAGGATTTTATCCAGCAATTGGTAGACAAATTTGGCAGATCTAATGTGAAAAGCAAAGGTACAATATTTATTAAGTTTATTACCTAAGT